ATAACTGTCTGTCTAACTTTGGTGTCCCTTATATTAAAAATAATAACAACATAGTTCTTTCTTCCTTCTTTCTTTCTTTCTTTTTCTTTTTTTTCTTTCTTTTTTTTTTTTTTTGATACGGGGTTTCTCTGAGCTTTTGGAGCCTGTCCTAGAACTTGCTCTGTAGACTAGGTTGGTCTTGAGCTCATAGAGATCTTCCTGCCTCTGCCTCCTGAGTGCAGGGATTAAAAGTGTGAGCCACCACCACCTGGCCAACATGGCTATTTCTAAGTACCTAGAAGTCTAGATAAGTTTAGTATATGTAACACCTCGATTAAAAAAAATTATTTGTGTGAGTATTTTGCCAGCAGGTTTGTACCACAAGTCTGCCTGGTGCCCATGAAGGCCTGAAGAGGACATCGAATTCTCTAGAACTGGGGTTACAAACTGTGAGCTGCCATATGGGTGCTGGGAACTGAACCCAAGTCCTCTGGAAAAGCAACCAGTGCTCTTAACCTCTGAGCCATCTCTCCAGCCCCAGAGAGCTCAGATTTTCATATCAGAACATGCTCAGCGATTAATAAGATCTCAATAATTGTAACTGTGACAATTATGTGATATTGCATCATCAAATAATGCAATATATGTCTTTCACTCTCTTTAGGACCTCCAGTCAGCCTTTTCCAGCCACCTCGGCGTCCTGGCCTTGGAACTGTTGGGAAGCCAATTCGACTGTTAGCCAATCATTTTCAGGTTCAGATCCCTAAAATAGATGTGTATCACTATGATGTGGATATTAAACCAGAAAAACGGCCTCGTAGAGTCAACAGGTAAGGATTAGAAAGAGTAAATGTCTGTATATCTAGGTACATATAATTCACAAAGTTTTTCAGTCTTTCAGCAAGTAGGCATTATTTTACCCTAGTAATAAGTGTATGTGGGATCCTCTTTGGGTTTTGTGGCAACTCAGCTGGATATATTATTGCTCTATCAGTAAATACATGTTGTTTGATAAAGTGAATATGTCATTAGTATCATCAATCCAAGGTCACAAAAGTTTATAACTATAGATGAAGATATTAGTTAGTAGTATATGGGAAGTAGAACTATCTGGAGATTCAGATTTTATCACTTCTTACATGAACGTGTAATGATGTAAGAGTTGTCTTAGAGTATTCATTAAAAAGGAAGAAGAAGAAGCTCCAGGAGAACCCTGCTTACTTCTAACATTATCCAAGTGGGGTTCTGATGAGGTGACATGTGTTTTGTGGTCACGTTACCAACATGAAGTCACTCTGTATCAAAAGCACACATACACTCACTTCCCTGCCTCCTGCTTCCATGTGGTCATCTCTCAGTGCCTCCTATACTAAGATTCTTGCTTTGCTGACAGTGCTTCTGCTGCCAAGTATGCTATTTGGTGATGCTTATGGGGGTGTTTTGGTTTTGGTTTATCCTTTCTTTTTTATGCTCCAATGATTTGGTTTTCTGGTACAGTTCAGTGTTGTGTAAGCCCATGATTAGTCAGGTGGGGTATAGCTGAGATCAATCATAATAGACCTGCTAATAATAGCTACTTTTAATCCATTCAGCAAACATATTCTGTATTGACTTGTTTGTTTGGTTATTTATTATTTATCTGTTTATTTTGAGATAGGGTCTCTTATAGCCCAGGCTGGCTTTGAATTCCTGATACTTTTGTCTCTACCTCCCAAGTACTGTGCTGTAATTGCAGGCATGTACCCCATACTCAGTATTTGTTTGTTCTTTTGAGATGGGGTCTTAATATTTAGTCCAGACTAGCATTGGCATTGGTTTACAGTGTCCTTGAACTCAGATCTTTCAGCCTTAACCTTCTAAGTGAGGACATGTGTGTGTGTGTGTGTGTGTGTGTGTGTGTGTGTGTGTGTTTATCCATGAAGACCAGAAAAAGGTTTCAGATTTCTATGATGCTAGAGGTACAGGCAGTTATGAGCTTCCTGACATGTGTACTGGGAACCAAACCTTAACTACTCTTAACTGCTTAGTCACTTCTTCGGCCCCAGAATTTGCTAGACATGCTAAGTTTATGGTTATGATGTTTATTAGATGTATAGAATATGTGAAATTGGATTCAGGAGAGATGTGTATTGAAGATAGGCATTTGAGAGTCGTGAGCATTGTTGGGATTGTTGGTAAAGCTGTGATACTGAACGAGATCCATGTAGGAAGTGAACATAAGACTCCAAACAGCCCCGAGGACTGGCGTTGTAGCTGTATGCCATCATTCCTGGCTCAGCACAAACTTGATTGAGTGCTCAGAGTGTCGCAGGTATTATTCTGTGAGGTTGTACCAGAGAATTGTTGCCTTTCAGCTAGAATTACAATTTTTCAGTAACTCAGCAGAGTGATGAACACAAAGGGAAAGAGGAAAGGCATGCCATGTATAGGCCTTTTGGAAAACACGGAGTCATTCCTTTGGTCTCATATGAATGAATACATAGGAAAAATAGAATTGTAGGCATCAGGGGAATGGGTGCTGTTCAAAACAAACACCTGTATGTGTTACCATCCATGCAGTCCAGAAAAATCTCTGCTGTTACACAGAATGCTCTTTGCATTGCTGTATGCTAACAGATGAAGGGTAAGATTCTTGCCAAGAGAATGAGCATACTGAACATACCAAGTTCTTTTAAGTGCTGAGCTAGCTTCCTGAAAATTGTGAAAGAATAAGATTTTAAAAAGAAGGATGTAGCATGAATTCTAGTTGGTCTTAATAATAAAACCTTGGAACCAGCTATCAAGGGGTGAAAGCTGAAGGATCAGAGAAGCAGATCTTACCTCTACAAATGCTCAGACCAAATGGACGATCATGTCCTCACACTGCCTCCTCTGACTGCCTCCTCACACTGCCTCCTCACACTGCCTCCTCACACTGC